TCCAATGCACACCCATAACTGTCGCTCAACCACCCGGGCATGATGTAAAGCAAATGATGACACAGCCTCCGTAGCATTAGCAATTTTTTTATTTTTCCTTTTTTGTTGCATAGGAAATGCAGTACTTGCTTCCAGTAATTGTATTGTAATGTGAGAAGGTGGTAGCACTAATGGTTGAATACAAGAGTTAAACTAATCCACACCAGCTCAAAAAAACCTGTGGAGATTTAGTTGAATAAGAATGGACGCCCACAGTGATTCTCAACCAATTACAAATTTTCACAGAACACAGTAAAACTAAAAGGGTAACTATGAGAGTCAATACAAGTATACTAGAGGCACAGGGGGCCCGGCTCATAAAAACAAATTTCAGTCCAAGTTATTAACACGGGGGGTATTTAGTTTCACAACAGATCTCTTACCCTCACTGGGAGTGTTCAGTCCCCTGCCCCCACAATTTGAAATGAAAAACGGAGGTATTTTGAGTGGATAAGATTTCCATGTGTGGTGGGAAAAGTCCCCGGGAACTTTGTTCTGGTGAGAGGTCAGGGCTGAGGGCTGGGCGGTGGGGGGGATCACGTGTTTGCCTTTGGGAGTCTTCCTAAAGGACCTTCTAGAACCTGACAAAGCTCCTAGTCTAGGTCTAGTTAGTATCTCAGTGGTGAGACTACTAAATGCCTTTGCAGTGCAGAGACGATGGTCTGAGACCAGGGAGAAGGAACGGAGCTGGCAGCTGTCTCACATCCCTTCCCAGTGCAGCTAGCAGCCTTGTGACCCTAGGTTGAAGTGTCAAAAAAAAAAAAAAAAAAAAAACCACCCAAAAGGCTAATTTACAGACTATTACCAAAAAATAATAATAATAATAAAAATAAAAACAGAAATTTAAAAAATAAGAACAAAGTCAAAGGAAAAAGAAAGCTTTTGCCATTTTGGGAAGTTGAGTATAAAACAGCAGGAAAAACGGCCCAATACATTGGACGTTATTCGTCCTTGAAACCACTGTAGAGATACGAAAGTTCACATTGTACAGCCTGGTGGGTGCTTTCCACCATGAAGGTGCTCTGGTTAGATTAGAGGTAGCACTTCCACTGTATACTCTTGTGGTTCAGACACATTTTGGAAGTTTTGTTTTTTGAATCAAATCGCAGAATGAGTCCACATGTGAAACTTGGGGTGCCTGGTGCACAGGTGAGTCCTACCCCCACGCTGCCTCCCTGCTCTCGGGCCCAGCTGCGGGTGGTCCCCTTATTTTCCTGAGCACCTCCAATATCTGCTCCTTACATCCCACCCTCCGAATCTGGGTAATGTGACCCTTTTGGGAATAAAAGGCAGATGGGTGCTGGCTTAGGGAAAAAAAATGAGATGAAATTTATTTAATTTGGGAAGCAAGTAGTTTCAAATTTAGACCAAAAAGAGTATACTAAAAAAAATCCCGTGTTAATAGCAAACTTCTTTTTCTTATGAATCGGGCCCAAAGTTTGTACAGAGTTTTATTTTTGAAGAAAATATTGCAACTGTGCATGAAACTAAATAGCCACGTGATTTCTTAGTTGGTTTTTTTTTTTTCTTTTTCTTTTAATATGAGGAGGTCTGGTGTGAAGATGGATCAAGCATGGGTACCTGGCTGAACATTGTCCATTAAGAAAATGGTTCAGGATCAGCATAGCTTCAGTCGAGGGTCAAGGAAAACATCCCTCACTTGGAAATGTTCTCAGAGTGTCTTCGTAACAGAGTTCTTGAAATTCACATGGTAGTTTTGAGACAAAAAAAATCTCACCAGGTCCTGATTTCTGAAATCAAACACCCATGCTTGTCCCCTAGGAAAAAGAAAACAAAAAACAAAAACAAAAACAAAACACAAGTAATACTGAATTTAAGTAAATGTATACCTCCAAAATACTGAAAACAGCTGAAATCAAGAAAAGACAGAATTTGCGTTCTCAGTGAAATACCTTTAAACCTAGCTGACAAGAACCAAGTCAGAAAAAAAGACTAACATAACTTTGAGTAATATTCATACAGTTCACTAAGCATTATGGGATAGCATGCATTAATATTGTACGGTTATTTTACATCACCTATACCAGAAGGTCCTGACAGACAGCGAAGGCTACCGGTGTAGAAAAATCTTACTTCCGAAGAGCAATATAATACAGATTTCACAGGCACTACATTTTAATATATCAGGTATTATGCTGGTTTTCTTATAATTCTTTCTGTCCTAAAGCTGGCATTATAACAATGACCAAAAAGGCAAGGATTGAAGTAAACGGAAAGTAGATACCAAAGTTGATATAGTTTTTTTCTTCAGATAGATTAGTGCATAGTTCTCATGCAGATAAACACTGCTATGCATTTACACTGTTGGAAAGCAGAGTGAATTGAGCCCAAGTTGTCACATTTGTGTAAATCATTTTGTCAGCCTGTAATAGCACCATGTAATGGATTTGCATTAAACATTAAATTGATTTCAAAATTGGTGACACAGTATTCACTACAGTTAAGTGCTATGGAATAGCTTCAATGTTACCTGCTATATATCAAAGCAATTTTCATCCCACTGCTTTTTTATTGGAAAAAATAAAAGGAAAACATACACGACACTAATTAGACGAATGCACAGCCTTGGACGTGGAGAAGGCAGAGCGGGTTTACTGTCAAACAGTAAATACATGCATTGACTTCAAGACAGACTCGGCCTTGGAAGCCTATTTGAATGAAAGCCGTGCCGGTGGGCAGTGCAGCTTTCTGAGACTGTCTTAGGACAGATCTCTGAGGGTGGGTTGTGAGGTGCCACTGAAGCTCTCCTTACATTACCATGCCGGTTGTGTTTTAGATTTGTTCTATGGAGGCCTGTTACTAAAAGAAAAGAAGGAAAAAGAATAAAAGAGAGAAAGAACAAGCAAACAAAGAATAGCAAGAGAGCAAGAGAGAGAGAGGAAGAGAGACCACCACCACTATGGACAAAAATATTTCCAGAGATGTGATGCACGGTACATTAAATGACATTCTTAGAAACCATTTCCCCCAAAAAACAAATCCCAAGGAAAAAATGTTTTTCTTAATCCAGGTCTTGTAAATAGTTTATGACACTGTAACTACAGAATTCAAAGCATATGGGGATAAGGACTTGAAAAAAACGAAAGACAAAGTTTTTAAGACGAGTTTTGCATATTCCTGTGGGCTGACTGAACATCGTGGCTCTGGAAAGTCTGAGTTCCTTTACACTTTTGACTGTCGAAAAATGAAGTACACAAGCTTCGGGAAGTGTAACCTCGTCGGCCTGCCTAGAGCCCACACCTGATGGTGCGGAGGAGGCTGGGAAGTAAAGTGACAACAAATGACTGTCATGCCAGGGTGTGAAGAAACAAAAACATTAGTTCGAACCTCAGAGGAAAGAAAAAGGCTCTCTGGGATGGAGAGAGTGGCATCAGGGTGAGGGCCTCTGCCCGTGGATGATCAGAAAGGGGGTGTTTTGGTGGCAGGGAGAAGGGTCAGAAGGAAAAGCAGATAGAAAAATGGTAAGATTTAGTGTTCGTGCCTCTGACTTCAGTTCCCAAAGAAAAAACACGTTGAGTTATTTGAGGGATTTATCTTTGCCAATCTCGTTAATGCCATCTGATGGGCGAGAAAAAATTCAAATGTGTTTCAGAATCGAGGGCTGGGCCTTCAAATGCTGATAGCTCTCAGTCTGTCTGTCTACACACCCCAGGTAGCAAAGTCTTCCTCAAACATCTTTGCTAGGCTTTTAATCTAAAAAGCAAAACACTCATATTGTTGGTGTTTCTTTTTTCCTGCTTGATCACAACTGAACTACAGTTTCCTGCTGCTTTCTGGACAATGAAACATGAACAAAAATGTAACTTAGTGTATTTAATACTTAACCCCTGTTCGTTATCACCCTAGACTGCCTCCCTAATGTTTTAAAGCCTTTAAAACATTTTTTTTTCCTGCAAATCTGTTCTGAGTTCCCTAATTTTAGCTTCATCAAACTTAATACAACAAAATACCTTCAAAAATACAGCATACCTGTAATGTCCATTTACAATGGTTTTTCAGTAGACCTATACTTCTCAAGCATAGGAATATGCTATACCATTGAGAGAAAAAAATAACTGTATTTAAATACTTACAAAAAAAAAAAAAAG